TACATTTCAATATTTTATTTTTTAATAATCCCTACCAAGAGTATATCGCTTTTGCCATTTCTTAAATAAATTCTTCACATATTTGATGAAAGTATATTCGTTCGTTTGTTTGCCGCCTATTAGTCACAGTGTTAAGGGCTCAGAAATTCGGATAGAAATTGATATTGATGCCCTTAGATAAATATTTCCAGTGAGAGTGATCCACTTACACGTTATTCATAATATGTATATCACCGAAGCAATTTTGACAGTAAATCAAATATATTTTTATTACTAACTTGAAGTCTATACATAGTTGGTGTGAATTTGAATGCTCTTTATTATTGCTCCCTTGCCGTCTTCAGTGCGAAGAACATAATCTAGTATAGATTTTTGATTCTGTATAAATCTATACATGTACACATAAATAGATATATACATACACAGATAAATGCATAAGAATGGGTACGTGTCCGGGCATGGTAGATATACGAAGTGAAAGAGTCACGCAATTACGCCAATTAATGATGGGTGTACGTAAGTCCATGCGTCCTTACACTTATGTCTCGATTTGTTTTTCTTTTTTCTTTGTTGTTTCGCTTTAACTTTTCTTTTCTTTTCATAAGCCAGTCCTTTGTCAGCGGCATGAAAAATACAAGAAGAAAGAGAAGAAGTAAAAGCATAAAAAATGATCAACTACTTATTATAATGATAACGATGCTAGTGATAATAATGATTTATAGCGCAACATAATTCTTAAGTACTTTGCACTTGTTATGCTCTAGATTTGATTGTTGCATTTTTTTTTTTTTTTTTTGCAATTTTTTCACTTTTTTTTTTTTGCTTCGTTTTTGTACTTATCACACTTTCATGGCTTGAAAAACGAAACAAAGAAAAATTGTTGCTTTTCATGTTTTGCTGCTTATCTTCAAGTTGTTCTTGTTTGTTATGTGTTTATATTTATGTTTGGCTTTAGTTTCCTTCTTCTGCTCTTTATTTTATTGTTGTTGTTGTAGTTGTTTTGGTTTCGTGTCTTACTTTCTCGTATAAATCACGTGTAATTTTGCTGTTGCTTTTATTTCTTTTGGGGATTTTTTTTTTTTTTTTTGTTTTGTTTTGTTTTTTGTTTTGTTTTTCTGTATACGTATGCGCGCGCAATTATTTTTTCTTTTCCGTTCTTACATTTTTATTGCATTTTGATTATTTATTTATATCTGTTATTGTTGTTGTTGTTTTTCTGTTTGACAGTTGGCTTTCACTTTAAAGTTCGCTCTATTTACATGAGCGCTTAATGTTTGAATTTCGTTTTCGTTTTTCGTTTTTCGTTTTTCGTTTTTGTTGTTTTCGCCTTTCTCGTTTTTCTTGTTTTATTATTTATTTATTTTTTTATTTTTTTTTCTTTTTCTCTTTATTTTAGTTGCATTTATGCATTTGCCGGCAACGGAAGTATATGAACTCCTCAGTTTCCGTTCTTGATTTTTCCTGTGCGTTTTTATTTTGTGTGCACAAAACAGTCAAACTTGAAAGATATTTAAGATCGAAATATTTATTTATTTTGCTAAAAATTTCTTCGTTATCATCTTTTAAATGTACTTAATATTTGGTTTACTTTTGCATCTTCCCTTAAAAAGCGACGCTTTGCTAATTTCCTTACTCTGTTTGCATTAAACATTAAAATACACGGAAATTTGTTTCATTGATTTGACGAATTATAAGAATTGTTACGCATAGGAGTCTTGATTTTAAAGGATAATGCTTTGGTCCGTATATCCGTTAATTTTAGATATGCTCTTAATATAATCAATATTTGCATTAAAAACCAATAGCTTAGGGCAAATATTTAATTAAACTTAAGCTCGCATTTCCTAGAGAAAATTTCATTTTGCACTTACAGATGAAGCCATCTTAACGCCCTTGATCGAAATTATTCCGTTCGATCCATTGCTATAACAACAAGAAAGGGAAGGGCTGTTTGAACTACCAAGTCTAACTTTAGATGGATAGATCTCTGGCTCACTTTTTGTGCACTTTTTATAGATCATCGATCGCTTATAACTTGAACTTCTGAGTTAGGTGTGTTATGCCCATCCGTCCATCTGTTTCCTTTTTTATTCTCTTTTGTTCAAATTGAAATTACTAATTGAGTTCGTTCTTAAAGTTAAAGTCAAGTGTGCGTGAAAATCTCAAGAGATTTCGCAACAAATTTCTAATCTCATATATCTCTCAAATGTTCGTAATTATAATGAAACTTTCAAAAAAGTTTTCCTAAATTATGCATCAAATAAAAAGTTTTAAACTCAGCAATTATTTTGTAAAGTAAATCTTGTCGGTAAAGCCTCTGCATTTGATAGCTTCTAGAAAACTTATGCATTTACATTTGCCGATCATTTCACTTAACATTGATTAAGTGCACTAAGCTGACGAAAGTTCATCAATATTTATTTATAAGGCTTTTCATATTAAATCGATCCATAAAACTATCGAATATATCCAATTTCCCTCATTTCATAGGCTCTTAGATATTATACTTACCATGTCCAAGGTTTATAAAATTGTTAAAGGCTGCGACGATTATCCGACCATTGTCTGATCATTGTTTGTTAGTTATTTCATGCAACTAACGTATAACATTTCAAATCGATTAAACGGTTTTTTAATTTACGAATAAAATATATCATCCCTCACGAAGCATTATTCGTTGACCCATATCCAATTGTGTTTGATGTAATCGTTACGCTTCGCATACTTTTACTTCAGTGTGGGGATTATCTAATTAATTATTTGATGGGATATGTACTATTGAGGCGATAAAACTTAAAATGAATACAATAAAAATGAGAATACTATAGGAGGATACGGACCACCATTAAATATCGTACAGCCCTTTGCAAAATATAGTGTTAACAAAATACTCCAAATTTTCGAATAGCTTTCGTCCTTGGGCGAAAATATGTCGGAGCAATAAATTTGATCAAAATATCTCAAAAATAACGATCCGTAAGTTGAGCACAAGAAAAAAGACAGACGGACTGACGGACAGATAAATTTATAAAACGTGATCATATCTCAATTTATAACTGCCGTTGTACTACAAATGGCGTTAGGGTTAAATAATTATATTTTCCCGATTATTTCGTAAGCAATACTCATATGCTAGTTTATGAGTTTTGAAGTATTATTTCAATTAGGGACAAAAATTTTGCCTTCCTTTGCTCTTAACGCTTTATGTCATTATTATCCCACTAATATTCAATCATTCATTTAATGTAAACGCTTAAAATTTGGTTGTCGTTTCGGTTGTTACATACATTTTATCCATTATTTATTGGCTTTGATTTTGGCCATTATGCGTTACTTGATATTTGACAAGCGGATAAAAATCTTACAATTTATTGATTGTATTTTTGTCGTATACTATATATAGACAATTCTCAGAAGAAACTTAATTCTATAAAGGATTATAGCTTTCATATATATATATAGCTGTGTAAATGATGTCAAGTTTTTATTTTGTGGATAAAAACAATCGCACGAGGAAAGAAGGGAAGCCAAGGAAGAAAGGC